GCAAAAGAAAAAATGTTTTTGGACTTTTCTAGGAACAAGACTAGCACTTGGAGGTCTAAATGTACAAATTTAACTGTCAAGGGAGGTTAGCTACTAAGAGCCACTTAATAACCAAGCCTTTTCAAGTGGAAATCACTAAAGCTCCTTATGGTAATCTCAGTTCCATAAAACTTTTCACAAATTTTTGATGCTTTATGATTTTCACAATTTTTCTTGAATCCAATCTAAACGTGAACAATTAAAAGCAACACAAACTAGTTGAAAGCAATTAAGTACAGCAATCTAAACAATTACACAATAGCTAAGAACAAAGATTAACAAGCAAGTCGGATTCCTAAGTGGAAGCTTGAAATCATATGAAATTTTCAAGCCACTTCCACTAGATCTAAACGTGAGTGGTTTATAGAGATTTAGATATACCTGACCAGCTTCTTAATTCTCCCTCCAAGCTATTACAATTTGAATGAAATCAAAGAAAATTAAACTAGACTAAAAACACAAAAATTTAGCAACCGAATTGGCCACCAAAACTAGTGACGGATTTTCAGTCAACAATTCAACTCCAATCCGTCCCTAATTTGGATCCTCCTTGATGTTTTTGACCTGCACAAAGAGCAAAGTTAATCCAGAAAATTATAGGCCACCTCACAATGGAAAAGGAGTGGTCACTCTTGTGAAGGTGATTTAGAAGGTTTAAGGAAAGTATTGTTGAATTTCCCTCAAAATCGCCTAGCCTTAGAGTTCTTGTCCTTCTTCTAGGATTTGTGAGTCAATGTTTACTCCTTTTGCATAAGTTTGATGCAACTTCCAGCCAAAAATCCAAGGAGAAAAAACAAAAAATGCATAATTAGGAAAGCTAAACCAAGTAGGAGTTATAAGATGACAAACTCAAAGAATTCCAATCAAGACTAAAAGACTAAAAATTAAGACACACCTAAAGGTTGGCACACAAAAAGGAAATTCTTAGATTAGCTCTAGATTGGATTAACAAAACCTAAATTAAACAAAAGAAGAACTATGAGATGATTAGTAACAAGAGAATCTGGTTCAACTTGAAGTGGCACAACACAGTGCTATAGGTTTCTCCTTTGGATTTTGTTGAGATTTCCGTTCAAATTACTTTTGATCTTATCTTAAATTGTTTTAACCCTGACAACGGACTCAAACACGACAAGTATACCGGCCGTTCAAGTAGTAAATTTATATCGTATCCACATGGACTAGTAGGTAAAATAAGCATTTATTGACTATTTGTGACTAAAGAATAATTCTATTTTCATATATTGTCATGCAATTCAAATAAAGGTTATGACCTATGGAATGTTAGAACTATAAAAATAATTGTGTGTGTGGAAGGGATAGAAATGATATTGTGGTTTTGTAAGATTGTGGGGTCAGATATTACCAAACTTCACACCGATGAATCTTTGTTCTCTTGTTATATTCATTGCTTAGTCAACCCATAAGTTTACTCAAACCTAATCCCTTAGAGCAAGAGCCTAGGTGCAGATAGTGAATATCAATTCCTTGAGTATCCAATACCTACACTCGCATTACGGGTTAGGGTTTAAGACTACTAATGGGTCAAGCTCCATTCTTAGATACATTTCCCACTAGGCATTTGTTTCAGAGCTAGTTTCAATGGTTATTTTCCAATACCCAATGGACTCTATATCAAGCAAAGGAGAATCAATCCAAAGCAAGCATTAAGAATAGAAACATACACAACAATGAATGAAACAACATATATATATCATTAATAACATGAAGATTACATAAGAGTTTCGTTGGCTACATCTAACCCCACAAAATAATGGTTAGAACCGCTCAAAAAAATGAGGGTAAAACAAAAAATAGAGATGGAAGAGAGATGGAAGAAATGAAGGAAAGACCCACACACAAACGGTCCCAAGCACCGGGAATCCCTTCCTCAACTCTTGGAAGTCGCCCAATGTGTGAATGAGGGAAGAATCCTCAAAGTCTTAATCAAATACGAGCTGGGTGAGTCAGGTTAGGGTTACCATGCTTGGTGCATTATGCTTTGCGCCCGGTGCAGGGCCTTTTAGGGAGTTTAGTTACTCTGTCTCAAGACATGCCCGACGTAATTACTTTTAAGTCGGGCGCGATGTCTACCAGAGAGTTTAGGTTGCTCCCTGTCTCGAGCACGCCCGACGCTTCTTCTTGTGCTCGACGTAGTTCTAAATTGCAGAGAGTGTGGCTCTCTATTTTTCTCAAGCTCGGCGCGGGTAGTCTTGCGCCCGGCGTAGGAACTCTTCTCCTGCTCCTTAGCTCCTTTAATTTCCAATCCAATGGGTCTTCAACTTTCAACTCTTCACTCAATACCTGCACAAAAAATGAGGTGTATCAGGGTATTGTTAGATGAGATTGGGTTAGCTATATTTGTGCAAAAATTGAATCAAAAAGAGAAAAATTATCTTGCAAGAGTGCATGGGATGAGTGAAATTGTTCAATAAGTCCTATCTAAAAAGAAGTATAATTGAGACTTAACAACTCCCCCAAACTTAGAACCTTGCTTGCCCTCAAGCAACAGGTAATTGATTCGGCAGATACCAAGCAATGCATGTATGTCAAATTCCTACATTCTAGCTCACTTGGATTTTCTTTTCGAAAGCATGAACCTTAGATGAAATTTCATTCACAATTATTGCAATGGAACATGACAAGGTGCAAACAAAGGTTTCAAAAGAGATCAAAGAGCTGAGGAAAGTTAATGACCATCTATGAATTCATCCTCACTAAGAAAGTGTTTCTCTCTATGTACACTGGTGTATCAAGGTGAGTGTTTCTCTCAAATCTACTACTCAAGCCACATAATTCAACTTTGCTCTCCGTTTCCAAATGGAACCAATGGTAATGCAAATGCAAGCACTTATCACAAGGTATTTATTAGGGCAATTTGGGTCAAGCAATAACAATCTTATGTTGTCACGGATTGAAAGTGCTATGGCTTAAGAAAGCAATTGAGATTTTTACAATGATATCCCTCTCCATAACCCAATACAATAATTTAGAACATGCCATTAACCGGACCCAAGCCACTAGCCTTTATGTGATGCATATTTACACTTTTGCATCCTTATATTTTTGTTTTGTTTTCTCTTTGTTTTTTTTAAAACAATGACCATATACTTTCCTTTTCCCAGAAACCCTCATTCTTCAACTCCCCAAACTTGTTTCATGTCATCAATTACTCTCTTAACCAAAGCAAGGTTTATGGTTAATTTTTCACAATTTGGGATAAGTAGAAGGTGTGGTGTTTAGGCTTAGGAAGTTATGGGTCAAGTGAAATGTGGAGGTGGCTTTTTGGCTTAGACGATTAGCAAAATAAGGAAATATGAATGCCTTGATCATATAAATGCACAACATTAGCAAACCACCAGGGAAACTTAAGCAAATTCTATCATGCAACTTAAGCGTAGCTAACTCATTAGCATTCAGGGCTTAAAACCTCACCTGGCTATACATCCAAAGATTATCAAACTTGGCTCAGTACTATGATCAACATTGAAACCCATATGCAACTAGTCATGAACTAAAGTTCTAATGTGAATTGAAAATGTCTAAAGTACGTGCACAACAAATGTCAAGTGAACCAAAATCCAGAATTGACCGCAAACAAAACAAGTATCAACAAGATCAATAACTGTGCTATAAGCAGAATAGTCACACAAAAAAGTAAACCAACCAGAGTAATCATATAGAAAAACACCAAATTGAACCACAAAGTTTTGAAACATGAATAGCTAAACCACTAAAAATGAAAGACATAAAAGTAAATTGCAATAAACATAAAGGTAAACTAAGGTAGGCTCCATCTGCATCCGTCTATAGAGCCTGGTCATCATCATCTCCTGGGTCTGCTCCACACTCATCATCAGCAGCTCCAGCATCATCAACAACATCATCAGCAGCTCCACCTCTCCCCCAGAGAAAGGGGCCTGGTCCCCGGGACCACTAGTATGGGCATGATAATCTGCAGTAGAAGGGAACTCATAGCCAAGAGCGGTCGCAAAGTGCAGAGAGAAACTCTGGAAGGCATCTAGAAGGAAGAGCTGGCCGCGGTGAAGGGACTCTTGCTGCAGCATGAAAGTGTCCAATCGGCCCTCAAGAGCGTCAAAATGCTGATGGAAAGTGAGTGGAGGGCCCAGTGCAGGAGCATCATCCATAGGCATGTCCCCTTGAGGTCTGGAAACATGAATAGGCTCTGGTGCAGCGGCCTGTGGCTAACGGTCCTGGCAATATGCATAAATGTAGCGGCTGTCAATCGCTCGGCCAGGACCCTCGAATGGTGGTGTCTGGACATCCACACCAGCAAGCTGGCATAACTGAGTGATGAGGGAAGGATGTCCAAGGGTTGTGGAGGGTGGTGCATTGGCGCAACCTGAAATCTCTACACAGATAATGGAGCCAAGGTCCACTGTTCTCCCTGTCATGATGCAGTACATCAGCATGGCCCGAGTCCAGTGTAGATCAGAGACATGCGAGCAGGGGAGGATGTTGGCTTGCATTAATGTTGACCAAATCCTAACCACTAGGAGCAGATCATAGCGCTTCGCATGGAGGGGCTACTGAGTGCGGTTCTAGTGAAAGTTGGCTCTAGGAATGCAAATAACAGCCTCTACATCCTCAGGATCGATGGTCCCACTCTCGAAGTCATCATACACACACTACTCATCAGGCTCGAGTGCAGTCACCAGGAACTCATTAATCGTGTGGGCATCAAAGGGGACTCGCACACCCCACACATAGATGGTATATGGAACAATGCCCTCCTCTAGTCACAAGGCATTGGCATAGAACTCCTTGACCACAACAATGTTAGCCAGAAGGGGGTAGGAGCCGAGCTTGTCCCAGCGACGCCTAGTGAGCTCATTCTCGAACTTAGGGGCCTCATTGTCATCAAGCTCTACTCGCCTCTCTAGTATAAACTTCCTCCCACTCACGGTAGCAAAATGCGTCTCATTGCGCTTGGTCGGGAATTAGCAGGAATAAGGCCTACTAGGCTTGCGGGGAGGCGGACCAGGTTGGTCGGGGCGGGAACGCTTGCTTGAGGATGCCATCTGTATAACATAAGACAATAAATCCCAGACAGAAAAGGTAAGCACAACAAGATATTCAATGATGACCAATTCAATAAAGCACAATGAAGAATTTCCTTAGAAAAAAATTAAATATTACATAGAAGTAAGGACATGGACTGGTGGCACAAGGCAACATAAAAAAAAAATACAAAAACTAAAACAGGGAAAACATTGGTGGTAGAGGTGTTATGCGCCGGGAGAAAATCACAAGCACCGGGCGCAAAGACATTAGTGGAATCTCTGGGTGAATTGCGCTGGGCGCAAAAGGTGTGCGCCGGGCGCGAGAGAGACAAGAGAGTCTCTGGTCAACTTTACACCGAGCGTGAGAGATACAAGCCAGGCACGTCAATGAATGGATCATCTTAACATAGCATAGCGCCGAGCGTAGTTCTTCCCCGCCTGGTACAAATTCATACTCTCAAAAGTGTAAAACAAATTCACACCGGGCACAGTTCTTCGCGCCCGGCGTATGCGCATACAGGGCATAAAAATTCCCTCTTTTTCGTCTCCAAAGCCCCCAATGTAGGGCTAAGTAACAGATTAACACCCAAAAAGCAACAAAGGATGAGACAAGATGCATTGAAATGTAAATAACTATAAAAAGAGAAACCTACTTAAGTGTGGAATGCGGGGAGGAAGAAAGAAACGCGAATGCGTGGCCTTGAGAGAGAGACGTTGACTGATAGTGAGGGATGAGGGATTGAGGGAGACTGAGTGAGTAGGAGAGAGTTGCAGTGAGGAGGGAGTTGTAGAGAGGAGGGAGAAAACAAAGTGAGAGAAGTGGGAGAGTGGTTAAGGGCACCTGAAGCATCGCGCCAGGCGCAAAATACATGCGTCGGGCTTAATATCAGAAGAAGCCCAAGGGTTTAACCCTATCTGATATGGCACCGGGTGTAGTCGTGGCACGCCTGGCGTGTTTAGGGCAGAGGCCCTCCAGAGTTTAATGCGCCAGGCGCAGGGTATCCATGCCAGGTGTGCTTGAACCTTTGGAATGTCATTTTTAATGCGCCCGGCGTGCCCATAAATGTGCCGAGCGTGGTCATTTTAGGGGGTTTCAATTTCATGCTTGGCCGGGCACAATAGAGTGACGCCCGACGTGAAGCTTGGCAGAGGGCAAATGTCTCTAATTGCGTCGGGCTTGGTCAGGGTGCACCCGACATGGTCTTGGCAGAGAGTATCCACCACCTATTACATTGGGCGTATGATAGATACGCCCGGCGTGATCAAGGCTATGAAGGATTCATATGAATTTTCTTTTCCTCACACTCCGAAACCAGATTTAACCTATATCTACCCACGCAAGCATGATTCACACAATTATACACAACACATACAGTCACAATTCAAGTCACATAGACAATTATAACACACATTAGCATTAAAATCTAAAAACACAAAGCAACCGAAAACATATAAAGTAGAGTTCAGATCTCTGGGTTGCCTCCCAGGCAGTGCTTTTTTACTATCCCGAGCCTAACTAATAGAGACCTCAAGGATCTCTAAAAGAAAGGTTACAACAGAGTCTTTCAACTTCTCCACCCAAGTAGGGTTTCAACCATTGTCCATTCACAACCCATTGTCTCTGTGCCTTAGGATCATCAATTTCTATGGCACCATAGGGTTTCACCTCCTTGACTCTGAAAGGGCCAGACCACTTAGATCTTAATTTTCCAGGAAATAGTTTGAGCCTAGAATTGAACAGTAGCACCGACTGGCCTGCCCTGAACTCCCTCTTGAGAATCTTCTTATCATGATAACTCTTGACTTTCTCCTTGTATAGCTTGGATGATTCATAGGCTTGTAGCCTCAATTCATCAAGAGCATGCAGCTCCAACTTCCTCTTCTCACCAGTACTAAGAGAATCAAAGTTCAACATCTTCAAAGCCCAATAAGCTTTGTGCTCCAATTCTACAGGAAGGTGGCAAGCTTTCCCATACACCAATTGAAATGGAGTGAGACCAATTGGAGACTTGAAGGTAATCCTATAAGCCCATAGAGCTTCATCAAGCTTTGTAGACCAATCCTTCCTTGAAGATGACACAGTTTTCTCCAAAATCCTCTTAATCTCTCTATTAGAAACCTCAGCTTGACCATTGGTTTGCGGGTGATAGGCGGTGGCAACCTTATGATGGACTCCATAATGTTCTAGAGCCCTCTCCAACTGAGAATTACAGAAGTGAGAACCTCCATCACTGATAAGTACCCTAGGGGTGCCAAATCTGCTAAAAATGTGCTTCTTGAGGAACTTCACCATTGTTTTGCCATCCACCTTGGGTGAAGCAATAGCTTCAACCCATCTTGAGACATAGTCCACTGCCACAAGGATGTATTCATTTGTGAAAGAAGAAGGTAGTGGTCCAACAAAATTTAGCCCCAACAATCGAACACCTCAACTTCTTGCATATTCTGTAAGGGCATCTCATGCTTCCTAGTGATCCCTCCGGCCCTCTAACAACTGTCACACTGCTTGGCATGACTGTGGGCATCTTTGAAGAGTGTCGGGCAGTAAAAACCATATTGAAGCACCTTGGCAGCTGTCCTCACTCCGTTGAAGTGTCCTCCATAAGGGGAGTTATGACAGTGCCACAAAATACTCTTGGCCTCCTCTCTAGAAACACACCTCCTTAGTAGGCCGTCTGAGCCAATATTGAACAAGTGAGGATCATCCCATACATAATAGGTAGCGTCACGGAGGAATTTCTTTTTCTGGTGCCATGTGAAATCTTCAGGTAGGACTCCAACTGCCTTGAAGTTTTCTAAGTCAGCAAACCAAGGTCGTTCCTGCACCATGAGCAATTTTTCATCAGGGAATTCCTCCAAGAACTCCCTCTCCTTCATGGTCAACTCATCATTCACAAGCCTTGAGAGGTGGTCAGCAACCAGATTTTCCTTGCCACTCTTGTCTTTGATCTCCAAATAAATTTCTTGAAGGAGAAGAATCCACCTAATGAGTCTTGGCTTGGAATCCAGCTTGGTGAGTAAATACTTAATTACTGCATGATTTGTGAACCCAACCACTTTGGAACCAATCAGATAGGACCGAAACTTTTCCAATGCAAACGCTGTGGCTAGCAACTCTTTTTCAGTAGTGGCATAATTAATTTGTGCCTCATTTAAAACCTTACTAGCATAGTGAATAGCATGAAAATTTTTAGCCCTCCTTTGGCCTAAGACTTCCCCAACTGCATAATCACTAGCATCACACATGAGTTCAAAATCAAGTTTCCAATCCGGTGCAGTGATTATGGGTGCAGAGGTGAGTCTAGCCTTCAAAGCTTCAATAGCTTTCAAACAAGAATCGTTAAAGCAAAAGGGAGTGTCTTTGTTTAGAAGATTACTTAGGGGTCTGGCTATCATTGAAAAATCTTTAAAAAATCTTCTGGAAAAGCCAGCAAGCCCCAAGAAACCCCTAATTCCCTTGACATTGATGGGTGGAGGGAGTTTTTCTATTACCTCCACTTTGGCTGGGTCAACTTCAATGCCCTTGTGAGAGATCTTGTGCCCCAAGACTATCCCATCGGTCACCATGAAATGCCATTTCTCCCAGTTGAGGATAAGGTTGGTCTCCAATCATCTTCTAAGCACCACTTCAAAATTGGCTTGGCACTCATCAAACGAATACCCGAACACAGAGAAGTCATCCATGAAAACCTCAATGCTCTTCTCCACTAGGTCAGAGAATATAGCAAGCATACATCTCTGAAATGTTGCAGGAGCATTGCACAGTCTAAATGGAATCTTTCGATAAGTGAAGACACCAAAGGGACATGTGAAAGCGGTCTTATCTTGATCTTCCAGATCTACTACAATTTGGTTGTAGCCTGAATACCCATCAAGAAAGCAATAATAAGCTTGGCCATCTAATCTCTCAAGCATCTGATCCATGAATGGGAGTGGAAAATGATCCTTCCTTGTAGCCTTGTTGAGCTTCCGGTAGTCAATACACATTCTCCACCCCGTGACCGTCCTAGAAGGAATCAACTCGTTCTTCTCATTTTGAATCACCTTCATGCCACCCTTCTTTGGAACCACTTGCATAGGGCTCACCCATGCACTATCAGAAATAGGGTAGATCATATAAGCATCCAACAGCTTCATCACTTCCTTCTTCACTACCTCTTTCATTACAGGATTGAGTCGCCTCTGTGGTTGAGCAACCAGTTTGTACTCATCCTCCATAAATATCTTATGCATGCAATAAGCTGGGCTAATTCCCTTGAGATCAGAAATAGACCAACCAATTTCCCCTTGATAGAACTTCAATACTTTCACAAGACTTTCCTCCTCCAATGTGGATAAGGAACTACTTATGATGACCGGTTTGCTTCCACCTTCTTCTAGAAATACATATTTGAGATGAGAAGGAAGTATTTTTAATTCAAGCTTAGGGGTATTCACCTCCCATTCCTCCTTCAAATCTTCTATACGCACATAATTAGGTGTCACCTCCTTATATGAGTCAAGGCTTTTCAAACATGCCTCAATCTCTCTATCTTCTTCTTCATGGAGGTACTCTACCACATTGATTAAGACTTTCTCCAAAGGAGTAGAAAAAGAGACATGCTTCCTGGTATCTTCAACAAGGCCATCAATTACATCGACCCGGAAACAACTGCTCTTGTCCTTGGGATAGTGCATGGCATCAAAAACATCAAAGTTGACTTCTTCATCATTCACTCTCACCTTAAGCTTCCCATCATCCACATCAATCAGAAGTCTTGCGGTTTTCATAAATTATCAGCCAAGAATGAAAGGTACATCAATGTCTTCTTCAATATCCATCACCATAAAATCAGCGGGAAATAAGAAATGGTCCACCTTCACCAGAACATCCTCAACTATGCCATGAGGATATTTTATCGATCGATCAGCCAACTACAGGGTCATGCAAGTGGGCTTCACCTCCAAATCACCAATCCTCTAAAGCATAGATAAGGGCATCAGATTGATGCTAGCCCCCAAATCAAGCAAAGCCTTCCCAATAGCTAAACTCCCAATAGTGACTGGAAGAGTGAAACTACCAGGATCCTTGGATTTAGTTGGAAACATCTTCTGAATAATGACACTACATCCCGCCTCCAATTTAATGGTCTCCTCTTCAAAATATTTCCTCTTTTTGGTGAGGAGTTCCTTCATGAACTTGGCATAAGTAGCATTTGTTCTAATGCCTCAGAGAACGGAATGTTAATCTGCAAGGTCTTGAAATTCTCCAAGAACCAAGCATATTGCCTCTCCTTATCTCTTCTTGAAGGGGCATGAGGATATGGAAGACTCTTGGTGGGTGGCACCTTTACAATACTCCTCTCCTCCATGGGTGATTTCTTCTTCTCTCCACTAACTCCTTCTTTCTCTTTTTCGATTTCTTTCTTTTTCTCACTCTTTTTTTCATTTTCTCTTTTCATTTTATTCTCTTCAACCAAATCACTTCCTTCACTCCTTCTCCATACTCCAGGGCCCTCTAAGATGATCTCTTCATCAACACTAGCATCATCTTCCACACCCATGTCATTCTTTTCTTCTCCCTCATTCTTCTTCTCACTCTCTTTCACCAAAAATTCCCTGCCACTCCTTGTAGATAATACATTCAAGTCCCCCTTCGGGTTTTGTTCGATGTTGGTTGAGAAAGAACATTTTTGCTGCTCTGCTAGCTACTTTTCTATTTGCCCCACTTGTATCTCAAGATTTTTAATTGAACCATCAATGTTCTTTTGGTTGGACATAGACAATTGCATGAATTGTTGCAGTGTGTCTTCCAACTTGGTGGTTCTCTCATATAAAGAGGGTGTTGGTGTTGGTGTTGAGGCCTGCTACTTGATGAAGCATTCATATCCTACTTGTTTCCACCATAATTATTTCTCCATACCTGATTTGAGTTTTGAGGATAATTTTGGGGATATGGGTGTTGAGAGAAATTTTGCCGCCTTTGATTCCCCATATAATTAACTTCTTCACCTTGGGAACTAGGTGGTTCGGCACAATAACCATTAGGGTGGTCAACTCCACAAAAATCACATGATAACGCTTGTTGAATAGGAGGGGTATTAGCTTGCATAGCTTGAAGTTGTTGAGGTAACTTAGCCATCTGTTGATTCAATGCTTCAATTTGTTGAGAAAGTAACTTGTTTTGAGCTAACACTGAATCTTGAGTACTCAAATCCAAAACTCCCCTCTTGCGTGAAGAGCTTCTGCCATGTTGACTCCTGAAATCTGTGGAGGCCATGGACTCAATGATGGTGATAGCCTCTTCGGCGGTTCTAAACATAACTGACCCTCCAAAAGAAGCATCTAGTATCATCTTGGTTTGAGGTTGTAACCCATTATAGAAAGTTTGAACTTGCAGGTCCACCTCAAAACCATGATTAGGGCATCTCCTCAACAGTGATTTGTACCTCTCCCATGCTTCACATAATGGCTCATTCGCACCTTGAGCAAAGGTAGCAATAGCAGTTCTGGCCTCAGTGTTCTTGGAAGGGGAAAGAACCTGGCTAAGAATTTAGTCTCCACATTCCCCCAAGTGGTTAGGCTTTGGTTTGGCTGAGAATGAAGCCAAGCCTTAGAATTCCCATTTAGGGAGAACGGAACAACCTCATAAACAATGCCTCTTCATCAGCCCCTGAAACTCCAACTAAACCACACAACTCATAGAAAGTGTAGAGATGAGTATGTGGGTCTTCATGATCCAGGCCAGAAAATTGATGAGAGCTAATGAGCTGTAGGAGTGCGGGCTTCATTTCTACTAGTCTCTCATTCATTGTGGGCCTCATGATGCTAGAGAATTCCCTCGGGCTAGTGTAGGTGAAAGCATCACCTATAGTGTGCCTCTGATTCGGATTGTCATTGTGAGCACCACCTTCACCTCCACCTTCCATAGTGAACTCAGGAATAACAGAGACAAAAGCTTCAGGAATATGAGTGGTTGGTTGGCCAACTGGATTTGCTCTATTTCTCCTTCTCTTCCTGTTGCTATTATCCCTCCTTGTCATGCGTTAAATCTTAGGATCGTTCAACAGCGGCTCATAAGAATTGGTCCCTCTAGTTCGAATAGTACCTTGCATACAAGAGAAAACAAAAGACTAGAGTGCACAAGTCAGCTCAAAGAATTCATTGCTGAAATAAAAAATAACAATAACAGTAAAGGAACAAGTCACAAATAGCTATAAATACTAAATTGCCTTACTAGTCCCCGGCAACGACGCCAAAAACTTGTTGAGATTTCCGTTGAAATTACCCTTGTTCTTATCTTAAATCGTTTTAACCCTAACAACGGACTCAAACATTGCAAGTATACCGGCCGTTCAAGTAGTAAATTTATATCGTATGCACAGGGACTAGTAGGTAAAATAAGCATTTATTGACTATTCGTGAATAAAGAATAATTCCATTTTCATATATTGTTATGCAATTCAAATAAAGGTTATGACCTATGGAATGTTAAAACTATAAAACTAATTGTGTGTGTGTGGAAGGCATAGAAATGGTATTGTGGTTTTGTAAGATTGTGGGGTCAGATATCACCAAACTTCACACTGATGAATCTTTGTTCTCTTGTTACATTCATTGCTTAGTCAACCCATAAGTTTAATCAAACCACCCATAAGTTTACTCAAACCTAATCCCTTAGAGCAAGAGCCTAGGTGCAGATAGTGAATATCAATTCCTTGAGTATCCAATACCAACACCCGCATTACGGGTTAGGGTTTAAGATTACTAATGGGCCAAGCTCCATTCCTAGATACATTTCCCACTAGGCATTTGTTTCAGAGCTAGTTTCAATGGTTATTTTCCAATACGCAATGGACTCTATATCAAGCAAAGGAGAATCAATCCAAAGCAAGAATTAAGAATAGAAACATACACAACAATGAATGAAACAACATATATATATCATTAATAACATGAAGATTACATAAGAGTTTCGTTGGTTACATATAACCCCACAAAATAATGGGTAGAACCGCTCAACAAAATGAGGGTAAAAAAAATAGAGATGGAAGAGAGATGAAAGAACCGAAGGAAAGACACACGAACGGTCCCAAGCACTGGGAATCCCTTCCTCAGCTCCTAGAAGTTGCCCAATGTGTGAATGAGGGAAGAATCCTCGAAGTCTTGATCAAATACGAGCTGGGTGAGTCAGGTTCGGGTTACAACTCCTGGTGCATTATGCTTTGTGCCCGGTGCAAGGCCTTCTAGAGAGTTAGTTACTCTCTGTCTCAAGACACGCCCGGCGCAATTACTTTTAAGCCAGGTGCGATGTCTTCCAGAGAGTTTAGGTTGCTCCCTGTCTCGAGCACACCTGGCGCATCTTCTTGCGCCCGACGCAGTTCTGAATTGTAGAAAGTGTGGCTCTCTATTTTTCTCAAGCCCGGTGCGGGTAGTCTTGTGCCCGACGCAGGTACTCTTCTCCTGCTCCTTAGCTCCTTTAATTTCCAATCCAATGGGTCTTCAACTTTTAACTCTTCACTCAATACCTGAACAAAAAATGAAGTGTATCTGGGTATTGTTAGATGAGATTGGGTTAGCTATATCTG